GTGTGTGTGTGTGTGTGTGTGTGTGTGTGTGTGTGTGTGTGTGTGTAGCTTCCCTCATCAGGCCGCGCTGTGTCGCTATGCGACGACTCCTCGGTGACTCTGCAGTGTGACGGTGACGACTCGCTGAGGTTGACGGTGAGATGGAGCGCTGCTCTCTATGACCTCCCGACCTCTGACCTCCCAGACCTCCACGACGTTGGTGAGCAGACCATAGACTGTATATAAAAGATGGGCATAACCACTGTGACGCATCTATTTTTGGACTTTCACATGATTTCACTGTTTTTTTTAGCGCAGAGGTCAAACTCATAGTCTTTTCAACCCTGACGTTTACAATTAGTAGCCAATCAGGAGACAGTTGGGAGGAGCTTAAACAGCTCGTTTCAAATAGAGGACGATGCAAAGCTGCTCTAGTTGAGCCCAAGAATAAAAGCATGTAAATAAGACAGAGACATCCACTTGAAACTTTTTAGCTATTTGTTCATCGAGTATTTAAATTTCAAGTCAACGACCTGAGGGAACGTCTTACGACCTTTGACCCCATCACAGGGTCTAAAGTTTAGAGTTTAAATGGCTACAAATCTGGTTGTTTTCTAGAAAACTCATAAAATTACATTTTGAGTTTATGTTTATTATTTCAGGTCTCTTCCTGAATGAGTCCAGGCTTCTGGAGGGACTTCAGGGAATTCTGCGCTCCGTGTTGTCATCAGAGCCCAAACTGGTTTCTGTGACTACACCGAGCTTCGGCTGTTCCCGTGGTTACCATCTGGACAGTGACAGCGAGGGCTGTGGTGAGTCTCTGCTCAGCTCAGACATCCAGACGCTGGACCGCAGAGTGTTTCAGAGTGTGCGATCTCCTTCACTCAAATTTTGCTGCCCATAGTTTGAGCCACGTTTGGTCCTCGTGGCTTATATCAGAATAAAATCCGCACAGGTGTGTCTTCACCTGGAGCTCAGTAAGAGCTGTGTCGCCTCCGTCTCTGCAGTCGTCTGTTCGTCCCGTAACTCAGTTTACTTTCTCTGTTTACAGTCGTTTGTCCTGCTGGCAGTTTCTCCCAGGAGGGGGTGTGTCATCTGTGTCTTCAGGGGACCTATCAGGACGAAGAGGGGCGGGACTTCTGCAACAAGTGTCCCACAGGGTCATCACCTGCTGGAGCATCATCTGTCAAAGAATGTGAGTGTTTTTAAACCAGCATTCATTTATTTATTACGTGACTGAAACCAAACCGGGAGACTTTGTGTTTTAGGCGAAAGTTTAAACTACATCATGAAGCCACTTCCTGTTAATGTGTTTATTATATTCATGTTTCATCTTCCTCAGAAGGCTCAAAATATTACTGTTATTTTATTCTAAAAGTATTGAAAACTGCATGTTTTACAAACTCGTTAAAGATCTCTTAAGTCTGACCATCGAACCTTAATAGAGAGAAGCGTGAGTGTCGAACACTTTGTGTTTGTGCACGCGTGCATCAGGTGTGACCGAGTGCCAGAGGCGGGGCCTGCGGTGTTCGCAGCGAGGGGACTTCCTGCCAGCGCAGCCGGATGTCCTCGCGGGCAGGTGGAGGTGCTTCAACAGCGAGGGGGTGGAGCTCGAGTGGAGCAGCAGCGAAAAGCTTCTGACTGATGACGAGTGCTCAGGTGAAGATGTAGCAGCCAATCAGAGAGCAGCTGTTCACAAGTTTGTTTTTGAGCGTTCTCTTTAGTGTGTGTGTGTGTGTGTGTGCGTGTGCGTGTTGCAGTCCTCAGCAGGTTTCAAGCTGTTCCCACATCAGACCTGATTGTTGGAGCTGCAGATGCTGAAGTGCTGCAGACGATGACCTCTGACCTCACTGCCTGTGTCCGGGGTAATGCACGTGTCTGCTCTGGATCCGGCCTCAGCGATCTGACCTGTAACTCTGGAGTATTTTTGTTTTGTGGTGTAAAAACTCATCATGTTTCTCTCACAGCGTGTGCAGCACAGCCTTCCTGCCACCATGTGGCGCTAATCAACAGCCAGACTCAGTGTGAACTGTACAGCACACACAGCCTGAACACACACTGCAACACCTCCCAGCAGGTACACACCTGCACACACCTGCACACACACATAAACATATCCTTAGAAATAACAGATTTACACAAATAAACATAAATTTTAAAATGTTTTTTAGTCCAGTGGTTTTCTGGCTCAGGCTGAGATGTTTGATTCGCTAAGCTGCTATCTGAGAGTGAGGGGCGGAGCTTCAGATCTGCTGGTCATCAGGAAGAAAGGTACTGCCATCATCAGAGCCATGTGACTGAGGTGTGCTGCAGCTGTGTGTACCTGTGTGCTCAGTCTGGTGTGTGTTTCAGGTGCAGAGTTTTCCTCGCAGCAGCAGCAGCAGCACAGGTTTGTGAGGATGAGGATGATGAAGGCGGTCTCAGGTGTGTTCAGGACTCAGGTGTTCTCCTCCAGGCGGACCTCTCTTTCCGACGCTCATCGTTTCTGTCAGGACGGCTGCAGCCGCGACACCTGCTGCGACGGATTCATCCTCAACCAGAACAGCCTGGAGGGAGGTATGTTACCATGGAGACCATGGAGACGGACAGGTGATAGCCGATGAATGAGAGTGCCTCGTGTCGTCTTCTCTCTGTCAGGGTCCCTGCTCTGTGGCTGGTTGAGAGCGCCATCAGTGCTGACGTGCGGGGACCAGGACTGGGACGTGATTGGTCAGGGAGCGGCGGAACGCATTTGCGGGGCGGGGCTTACCTACAACGTGCAGGAGGGCAACTTCTTGTTTGACTTTGGAGGACAGAAGTTCACCATCGGTAAGAAAAATCAAGTCATGGCTAAAATCCGTCACGAATAAAACAGGTAACCACGCGACTAAAGCACTTCCTGTTTCTTCCTTCCAGCTGATTCTGCTCTGCCAGCTGACAGCAAGAACAGGAAGGACTATCAGTCCTCCGTCGTCAGCTTCCAAGCCATCTACCTGAACACTGGTACCTGTACCTATCAGAGGACATATGTTAGCACAAATACATACAGAGAACTATGATCAGCTGTTGGTGTCTGATAGAGAGGACGTCCTCCTTCTGTGAGCGGGGTGAACCACAGGCCACAGCAGATCTCCAGAGCAGGACGGCCTATAAACCAGCTGCAGGATGAGCTCCTCCTGCTGTGGGAGAAACTGGCTACAATTACACCAGAATAATTATTTACACCTGCAAGAAAAACAGACCAGACTGTACTGAACGAGCTGAGCAAAGTTTGACTTGTGTGACTGTTTGGTTTCACTTAATGCGCCTTATAATCCTTTGACGTCGACACTGTTGTGTTTGTCGTCTTCTGCTAGCGAAGATGTAAATTTGACAAGCTTGGTGGATTCTGTACTGTACAGGAGACACGGCACGAGACTGATTGAAAATGGTCTACAGCCAATCAGGACGCATCAAGTGCAAAATTGCACCAAAAAAAATCAGTGAAACAGCGAGGCTGTGAAAAGTGGCCACTATGTATATACTGAAACAGCATTATGGCTGAATAAATGTAAACAAGCTCAGGAGCGCCCCCTATGGAACAGGTAGACCAGATAGTAGAAATGATTATCAGTTCTCAGAGGATCAAAAAGGACCAGGACAAAGAGCTATCCAGTAATGAAACCATGAGACAGGAAGGGACAACTAAAGTTTCAAAATAAAACCGAGGCGACTATGCTGGCTTGTACACATACACGAGAGACACGAGAGTTCTTCTTTACTGATGTTTACTGTGCTTCTTTAACGTACACAGGTACACCGTAGAACTGGTGAATACAAATGTACAAGAAAATTATATTTCAGCATTAAAACATATTACAATATAAAATTCACAAAATATAAACAAACATACCACTTTGGCCTGCAAGTAGACAAACCGGTGTAATTGGAACTTAGGACTTATTATTTCTTCTTTCTTAGCTTGACTTTTACACGGCTAGACCGTCACCATGAGCAGCTTCTCTGACCTTACTTCCCAAAACAGGAAGTGACCTCTGCCCTTACCTTATACTTACATGGAAAATAACCGGTTAATTTTGTATCAAATTAACTGTACACCAATCCGGTAGGCAAAAAAGGAAAATGTTAACATGCTCAACACAAAAATAAAACATACAAAATAAAATGCGTTAATTACAATATCATTACAAGAGCTCCACCTAGTGGTCAAATACTAACATAACAACTGTTGCAGCGACTGTCACTGTTATTCTCAGAGAGACACAAAAATGTGCTAAAATAATTTAAGTCACTCGCTGATGATGTTTGTCTCAGTTCTGCTTGTTTGTTGTTGTGATGCAGCTTCGGCCGTCGGCGGTTCTGGTTCTTCCTCGTGTGCTGCAGCTGAGCTCAGCCCTCCTCTGGACGGTACGAACAGAACAAAAGTCTGAAGTTTCTGTTGGCTGGTTGGCGACGTGTCACTGATGCTTTTATGGGCTCTGTTTGCGTTCGCAGCTTCAGTCCAGCTGAAGTTTGCGTCTCTGTCTGAGGACGACGTTGTCGTGGATCCTCAGAGGAAGCTCCCCGCTCTCTCCTTCTGGCTCAACAAGAACAACTACAACTCCCAGCAGGCACAGCTCTGGTGTCTCACGCGTATGTGAAACTGTCTTCTCGTCCTGAATACAAAAATGGAGATTCTGGTTTTCTGGGTTCTGCTTGTTGTAAAAGTCATTAGCCTTGCTGTTTATATGCTGGAACCCCTGAAAAATGCTCGGACAGGTTGGTGCCTGTGTCGGGACAGCGGCCTCAGTCTTTCAGGTCACGCTGGCATCATGTCGGCGGTTTCCTCCATCAGTCCTGAGACGCTGTGTGGTTTCAGGTTGTAACGAGGAGCCGCAGTGCTCGGTCGCTGACCTCAGAGATGCCGACTCGGCGGGTTTCTTCAGCTGCTCGTTGTATCCGGACAGCAGAGTTTGTGGAGCTTACGATAAACCTCTGAGACGACCCTGCAGCCTCCTGCTGGACAGAGCGCCCAACAACACCTACAGCAAGAAGGGTAAAGAGGGGAGCTCAGAGTCACTGTCATGACTTCATAGCTGCTCCTGCTGTTTTTAAACAGTGTGTGTGTGTGTGTGCATTTAGTCGATCTGTCTGGACCAGTGAAGAGCTTCTATGAGAGAGTTTCCTTCAAGAAGATGGTTTCTAACTCTGTACGCAGCCAAGTCACCCTGGGAGAAAACACACCGCTGTCTGAGGGGTAACACACACACACAAACACACGCACAACAAAATGTGTTTGGTGTCGTGTTGAAAGGTTTCAGAAAATACTTTAAATAGTAAAACCTCATCTGGATCTGCTGCAGGTTCATGGAGTGCGAGCGCCGTTGCGACGAGGATCCCTGCTGCCGTGGCGTCGGCTTTGTCCGTTACTCCAAATCCAGAGGTATCCATAAAACTGTATGTCAGCTGAGCGTAGCTCTGTGTGTGGACAGTTGTTTTGTTTTTAATCTTCATACTTTATAACGGTAAC